TTTATTACTAACACAAAAAATCGTCCATGTATAAGCCCCCCGTATATAAGCCCACCCTTGTATAAGCCCATCAAAAATCGCTTACGAAAGTATATAAGCCCAGGGCTTATAGTCGGAGGTTTACGGTATCTATATAAACCACCACAAAATGTCGAACACAAAGCGACTTGCGATCGTCAAATTAGACAATCGGTTTCAACCACTTTAACTCACGTAAATATCAACATTTCACATCAAATTGATAAAACATACCTTAATCATGTCTTTAACTTCGGCATTTGTGCTTTCCTGTATTTAAACGTTGTATCTTGATCTTTAAGGTACTTCTTTTCACAAACAGGCGAGGACCACACAAGGAAGCGGCAAAATATAAAGCTGCAAGCCTGCAACACACCCTAAATTTGAATATAATTTATTAATTTATTCTCTGGAATGTTTCTGTTATAGCATAAAAGTAAAAACTTCTTAATATTTGGGTATTTACAAAAGCATCCCTTGATTGGTCAATAGATAGGATGCAGCATAGAAATTATAAATTCTGAATAACAATTTTGTATGCCAATAGGATTCAAATTGCCTTATTGGCATACACAATTATTATTCAGCATTTATAATTTATATGCTGCATTGGTAAAATTCACAGGAAATTTCTCAAAAATTAAAAAAGTGCCACAAACTATTTCTTGAAAAGTGTCAAGAAACATATCTCTCATCAAAACAATTACTTTCGACTGATAAAAACATGCTTTACCACCATTTGCAATTGAGCGTGCACCGTGCATTTTTTCAAGTTGTTTTAGCATGAAATTAACATGTAACTATGGGCGGAGCGACATGTTACTAAGGCGGCTTACGGCGGTTTATTTAAAAATTGCGCACGTTTTTACAGCTTGTAGTTGTAAAATGGCGCTTGCCCTGTTGTAATAAAATTGCGAAATTTATAAGTAATAAATACGGAAGGATTTTCGAATCAGGAAAAGCGCTTTCGCCAGATTTCTGTAGACTTATAATAGATAAAATATTGGAAAGCGGAATGAGCTTCCTGCTCATTTATTAGATCACGGTACTTTTGACGCTTACGATTGGCGTTAATAATAATAATAATAGCCGAACTTTTTTTGCCAATTTTAACCCCTTTTCAAAAATCGAAAAAGTGGTTAAAAAATGGACGAAAGGTTAAGGCTACAGCCTTTTGAAAAAAATCGAAAAAAAGTAGCTAAAAATGGACAAAAAGTCAAGGCTATAGCCTTACTTTTTTGCCAATTTTAACCCCTTTTTCACAAATCGAAAAAGTGGTTAAAAATGGACGAAAAGTTAAGGCTATGGCCTTACTTTTTTGCCAATTTTAACTCCTTTTTCAAAAATTGAAAAAGTTGTTAAAAATGGACGGAAAGTTAAGGCTATAGCAATTATCTTGTGTGACAGCAATGGTCGTCACATAAACCCCAACGTGTTATGCCCTAGTTCAAGGACATCCTACATCCGATGTCCAACCCTGAGTGATGCTAACAAGATCATGGAGCAAACCACATTCACGAACCCTAAAACATTCCTTCTTCACTGTGGAACCAATGACCTGGAGTCTAACCAATCTGATGAAGAAATTACAGGACATCTCATATCCACGGTAACAACCATATCCAGCAAACACCCTGAGAATAAAGTGATTCTCTCGACACTATTACCCAGAAAAGACAATCTGAATGTAAGGACCAAAAACATCAACCACAGTCTACAAGAAACATTCTCGGCTTCCAAAATCTATGTTGTCAAACATGACAACATCAAAACAGAAGACCTGCGTGACAAAAAACATCTGAACACGCATTCGCCTTAAACCTCAAGAGAGCATACTTCAGACATTCTCCCCCAAATACCGACAAAACAAGAAAACCCCACAATCACCCAACAAAGTTTAGATGGCAATCCAACCAAGGAACCAACCAACAAACCAATACGACACTTCCACCAGAACCACACCACAAACCATCAACATCCAAATGAGCTCCACACAATAAGCAACCCCTATACAGTGTGGATTATAACGGTCGGCAATCGGCTATTTGCTGAACAAAAACACCAAATGGCCGATCAATTTCATTCTGCACGGACATTTTGTCCGATCAAATAAAATACACCACACTGTTCATTTAAATTGAAGGTAGTTTATGTGAAAAGTACTGTTTGAAAAGCATCTAACTATGCCTACTATACCATGCAATCAATAAATATTTGGATGAAAAAATCACTCAGAGGAAACATTGTCATTGAGCTTCTCTTTTAGCAAATACTCTCTCAAGTGACCGAATCTCGATAGTTACAGTCCATAGCCGGCGGCGTTTACAATACTTACTACTTACAAAAATATGTTTCATTTCTATAAGCCGTATATAGGCCTAGCTATATATTAGTAAATACCTTTATTTCCTAAAGAAACACAAACAAAGTGAAGGCGCGGAGGACGTTGCTAGTTGGCGTACGCCAAGCTTTTTTCTGCATGCAAACGTGCAATCAATAATGGTACGTCGATCTGTAGCACTGTCATGTAAAAATGGTTGAAATAGTTGGCTGACCATTCTTGGCCAATGTCCGAGCAACAGTCTCGTTAATCGGACATTTGTCAGACCTAAGCAAAAACGTTATAATCCACGCTGCCCCTATACTCCCTTCTTCTACAACCGCATGCCCTTCAACCAACGCCCACCACACAAAAGCACCAGTCAAACTGCAGGAAACAGAATGATGAAACACCAAGAAGAGAAATTACCACAAGAAATGGTCCAACTGATCAAACTTTTACATACTAGGTATGTTAAACTAGTCATAATCACAATCTTAGAACATAGAAATAAGAATTTATTTATTTATATATATTTTCTTTTCTCACTATCCTCCAACTTAAAAAAAAAAAGCATTAATCTAGAAATTTAATATTTATCCTCAATGGAATTATAAGTCTTTCTCTACCAAATATTTTACACAAATCTTCACAAAAATGCCCCATAGCCTGTCTTTCAGCACATGGAACATCCATGGCCTATCACATAATGTCCTTGGTGATAAAACGAAAATCAAGGACTTTACTGATAATATTATGAAAACAGACTTCATGTTCTTAACTGAAACATGGTCTGATAAAGAAATTAATATTCCAGGTTTCAAGGGCATTTGTCTCTGACCCCACAACACCTATATCGAAACCTGCAGAAAAAAATGAACAGTCTATCAGAAAAAATAAAAACAAATGATCCACCAACTAGTACAGAATTAACCAGCCAATCCACTGAAGAATCGAGCAACACTTCCAACAACCAGTCCTCCAATCCTGAAGAGCAAGAGTCACCAAATACACCTATAACCTCAATTGAATCAAACACAGAATCCTCATATCCAATACCTACATCTAACCAGTACTCAACTTTTCAAAATCATGATGAAACCACTGATACTCGAAGTATCCAGGAACAAATGAATATAGGAACAAATGACGAGCAACAGTCGATCCTTCAAAACCAAGCTGAAACAACAGATACCAGTATTCCAAGTGTGGAACATATAGAAACAAAATATCAACAGCAAACAACCCTTCCCAAGGACTACAACAGTGAAACCATCATCCTTTGTTATTCGAATCGGCATCTTCTAGACACCAATCGCCTTTGCCCATGCTCAACTACCTCTTACATAAGATGTCCCATACTCGCAAAAGCAAAAGACATTTATTTTGCACTGTGGTACAAATGACTTAGAAAAATATCATGATTATACTGACATTGTTAAAAAAAACATCAGAAATAATCAACCTAATAAATGAAAAATACCCGGAAGGCAAAGGAATCCTGTCATCGCTCCTACCCAGAATGGACACGCACCATGCTCAGGTAGGAAAAATGAATAAAGTACTTAAAACCAATTACTCAACAAAACCAAGTGTTCTTTGTTAAGCACAACAACCTTTTCCCCTCGAGACACCACCTCTACGACAAGAAACATTTAAATCAGTCTGGAGTTAAGATTTTTGAAAAAAAAATCTACCTTAAATCTACCTTCTTTTACCTCAAAAAGAATTCCAAACAAAACACCCCAAATTTTTTAATAAATTCAACCCCTGACATAAATCCAACACAGTGGCAAAGGGGGATCATTGGAGGAAAATTTTCATATCATTTGTGTATAATAGTCATTAGTTAATTAGTCTGCAATAGCAGACAGATCTCAGCCTCGAAAGCAGCAGAGAAGCAGTCTGTGATCAATCAACACTAATGCCGTACACTGTACAGTTACGTAAGCAGTATTTTGCATAATTAATTTAAATTTTTCAAAAAATGTCAAGTCCAATGCAAAGCAACCAGGCCTTAAAATATCTTTATAGGGCCGTCTGACAAAATGTCCGATGACATTGAGTTTGGGTCGCACATATGTCCGATGACCTTCAGTTCAGTTTTGACTCGGAAATACGCGACACAAACGAATATCAGCACAATGTATTAATTCTAACGGTAAATGTTGTGAAGATATTAAATAATTTGTTTGATTGTTTCTTTCATACTTATTTCCAAGCCAAAATTAATGTGCTTTCCAGAACAGACTAGAAAGCAAGTTAAGTACGTCTCGACTAAGGAAAAAAACGATATACTGGAGGAACTTGATTTGTAAAATCTCATGCATCATCATAGCTTGAATATTTCTTCTCAGACTTATTCTGTATCATATAAAAAAGCAACACAATTTTGAGAATGCGGAAATGGTGTCTCATAGAACCTAGAATGATTTAAATGCAACATTTCTGATCAAAATCACATTGGAATTTTCTCCCCCCAGCATCACAGAGGGGAAATAAGGTGACACTGACCCTTGCTCCTGTTTTTCAAGGTGATTTTTCCAAATTTATTTAATTCCAAGTAGAAATGTCTGGGAAAATTCATGTCTTCGATGTACTTTATAATCCAGGGTGTTAGCTAGCCCATATACTGTCCGTTTGATGGACTCTTCCCAAATGAAGTAGCTAAGGGGCTTTCCCAACCTGGTCTACTGGAAGATTTTCATTTTCTCAGATGAGAAAGTGCATTGCGCTTGATTTTATATTACTATATCAAAGAACGTTTTATTTACTTTTTCCCATTAACTATTTTCTAAAAATGCATCGCATTTCATTCATATTGGGTGTGTATTCACTGAAATGTACAAAACAAAGTGTAGTTGGTGTGCATCCGTGTTCATTCACCGAAAATGAAATATACAAAACGAAGTGCCATCAGGTGCATTTTTCAGTGTTCATTCCACCAGAAATGGAATGTACAAAACCAAGCTACCATTGTTTGCATCTATTAGTAAGGAGAAACACGCTGGAAAAAAACACTATTTATTCCAACACAAGGACTTTGATCGGCCAAAAAAACTTTCCCAAATTATGTTTAACAGACAAAACTTTTTTTGTGGCTAACACCCTGTAATCTTCGGAATTCTGCTAGATTTCACCACAAAAATGCTTGAAATCGCATTTCAGGGACTCTAGATTTTAAAATTTTCCCGGGGGTGCATGCCTCTGTAACCCCCTAGACGGTCTCAAGACTTCGGCGTGAGCTAGCTTCGCCCTCCCAAAAATGAAGGCCTGCTACGCCACTGAGTATAGTGATATTTAACAACTGTAGCACAAAAACTTACCATTAACTGATTAAGACAGGCTGTTCTTTCATTCAAGTGTTGTCTCTTTAATATATCCATGGTCGAATTGCGAGTAGAAATTTTTATAATAAAGCAGTACAGTCTGTCAGCGATGTAGTTTTTTCGGTCGGTCTTTCACAGCAAATAACGTCACAATAACTGCATGTATTTCCCTCTCTAGTGAATAAACACTCTCCCCTTCCATTGAGTTACAATTTCCACAACGAACTAGTCGCTATAACGTAAAATAAGCGGTTATTTCAAAACAAAATTGCCCAAGTGGCCAAGCATGAACGGACGCCATCTTGTCTTCTCGAGAATTAGAAATTTTCCCGCCAAAAATACTCCCGCGAAGTCCCGTATGAAAATGACGTCACAGGGTCAGAGACGGCCGTCGGGGCATTACCAAATTTGGTCAAAGATTTCAAAAGTACGACTAAATGCAGTTTTAACCTGTTTTAGCTGTAAATGCAGTTTTAACCTGTTTTAGCCGTTTATTTTCGCTTTCCCAAATATTTTGACCCAACCACGATTATAACACAACAATTTTTCCTCGCTAGCATTTTAAATTGAACAAAAATTCCAGGTTTTATTTCACAATTAAATTATCATGAGATGGCAATCTACCTACCTAAGTAGGTAGGTAGGTTAATAACATTATATTAGAAGGGGGGGGGGGGTGAATAGGGGTATACAAATCCGCGAATCCGCCCAAATTTGAAGTAAAATCCGCGATCCGACAATGGTCTTGTCTAAATTTGAATCCGCTAAAAAGCTCTACTATGAAGTCACAGGATCCGAACTGAATTGCAAGCTAAATCCACAATCCGACCCAAAATATTAGATAAATCCGCAATCCGCTGTATTAATAAGATCCGCAAATCAGTGTAAAATATTCGCCAGATCCGAAATCCGAACAATTTTTTCTGTGAAATCTGATGATCCGAAAATCTATTCACCCCCCCCAAATGCCAATTGCATTTATTTATGTTGATAATGTATGTGAATCACACATATCTGCAGGTAATGAGTTCCACAGTTTAGCTCCATCATAACAGAAGCTTTTCTTAAAGACCATGTAAAGTCCATTCTGTGCAGGCCTACATTCCAATGGTTGGGACCTATCGACCCGACCTTAGGAATGTTATGAATATTTTGCAGCTTTCGAACTTTCTGGAATCGAATCTCTAGTCTGTATTCATTTACAAGCAATCAGAAGAGTGTTAAAAATTCAGTATAATATATATCTAATTTAATTAACAACTGTAGCACCAAGTTCAAAATGTAAACAAAGCGTTTGTTTACATTACGGACTTTACATTCCTTTAAGATTTTCAGAAAGGGGAGAGCACTGGCACTTAAATTAATGGCTCAAAAACCACTTCACCCATTACGCTGCAGAGCTTCCCTACAGATGAGTAAAATCGTCTGGCGTTAGACAAGTAAAAGAGAGCAGGGTGCATTGCAGCTCAATGAGTTAACTATAGAGACATTGTCAGATTTTTTGGTTAACCCATTAAGCTGCAGAGCATCCCCATTGACGAGTAAAATCGTCTGGCATAAAGGCGGTTTTCCAGTCCTCGCACGAAGCTCCTCACAGCTCGCTGCGAGTGATGCATGAGCACTTTCATCCAATCACAATGCTAAACAGTTCATCTTTATTAGATGTAAGCACTCGCAGCGAGGAGCTCCGTGCAAGGTCCACTCGTGGACCGTGGATAGTCCACTCCAATGTGCAGAGTGTTGATGATACAAAATAAACGTAGGAGTACACTCAAATAGAAAAAGACAGTGCAATATTCTGAAAACTAATTGCTCCTCGCTTGCATTCACTGATTTATAGGAGCAATTGTGAAGTTTTGAAACTCTATTATCTCCCCTGAATAGAGTTTTCAGTGCCTTGTCATGCAAATAGCTTGCTTGCAAGGAACGTTTGGAATTTTTACGAACATTATTTTTAGTTTTTAATTCTTTTAGGAAATGGTTTTTAATTCTTAATTCTTTAGTTTTTAATTCTTTTACGCCCCAAATATTATTTACATTGGAGTTGCATCATAAATTGTACTCGGATTCAAACGATACAATGTCAATGACTTTATAAAAGTAAAAGCATATTGTGTATTGGCCTATTGGGTTTACACTTTTACAGGTTCATTTAACCTTAACTCCCTCAAGTCTCAACAGACAATCGGACATGCCAAATCCATTGGTATGTCGACTTCAAAAAACTTTTTTTCGAAGCTAGAAATCATGATTTTTTCAAATTTTTCCAGGGATACTTTGTTTTCTGCTCTCTAGACTCCCCCTCGCGGCTCTAGTGCTCCACCCCTAGAATATAGACCTTACTGGGGTTTGGTGACACTTTGTGTTGCTTCAGTCACCTGCTCACGACTCACCCCCCTAAAATTTCTGGCACCACCCCAGTAAAAAATATGAAAATCCATCTATGCTTTAGACAAGTAAAAAAGTATAGGGCACAGTGGGGCGCATTGCGGCTCCATGGGTTAATGTACATGACACAACAAATTAAAAACTGACCTTTCAAGCACTTCATCTGCAAATCCAGCTGAACCGAACACATCCAAACATGACTGCAAAATGTTGGAATTTTCCACAGACTAAGACTTTTTTGATTGGTTTTTAAACAGTGATATGCAGTTCCTTTGTGACGACTAGCCCAATTGCTGTTGTCTGTAAAGATGAACAAGATTAACTGATCAACCTGTAATGCTCCTAACAACCTAATTTTTGTATTCTGAGTAATGGCGACAATTTTGTGCATTGAGCTTAGAGTCTTCAACCCTTCAAGTGGCAATGAGCACAGATGTGCCCTGCTTTATTATTTTACTCTGTCTAACGCCAGTCGATTTTACTCATCAGGGGGAGAGTGCTGCCATTCAATGGGTTAATCCAGTAACATTATTATTAGTGGATAAAATCTTGAACATATTTTTCTCACAAATCACTTACGTTCTTGGGTAATGGAAAATAAGGTAAAATTGGGGCGAGGCCAGCGAGCAAAGCTCTCCAAAAGAAATTAGAGTGGGAGAACCTAATATTCTTTGCCACCTGAAATGCAAATCTAAGGTTGTTATACAGTATATTGAATATAGGGATGAGCCGATTAATCGGTAAATAAGGCCGTTTTTTAAATAATCAGTAATCGGCCGATTATTGCTTGATAATCGGCAAATAATCGGCCATAAGACTTTTCTGCAGCTGCCAAGCACATGCTAAAATACTGAATACAAGCGAATAGATTTTCACATTTTGTTGCAAAACCTGTGTCTTTTGTCTCGAGTGAAGTAAAGCTGGGAACATTTCCACTGAAAAACGCAGCAGACTAGCTCCACATAGCTGACAATATCCTGTTTTTACACCATAATCTGCCAAAACTAAACTTTGACTATTGACATGCAAGATTGAAGCTGTTTTCAATTGTACATAGTGTATTGTAAACAATAAAACCGCATTTACAACTTCATTGTTGGCTACCCAGGCTACACACATAAAAACCTCCCAGCTTGTCAACAAGATATCTTTGCAACAGGCTTGTAGCAAGCTTGTCAACAACTTCTTGTAGCAAGTTCTTAACTTGCTACAAGATTGTTGAGCTCGACAGACTTGTTGGGAACGTTACTTATAAGTAACTTGCTGCGAACAAGCAGTGCGAACACATCCTGTTGACAAGTTGTTGGAACAGCATTGCTCGCCCCATATTATAAACAACACCTTATAAAACACTGCCTGTCTGCATATAATAAAATCCAGCAAATTGGGACATACTTTTCATGTACAAATATATTAAATAACTTTCTAACTATATCAGCAGAAGAACAAGCCCAAATACCTTAGAAGCAGACACACCAGATTATTTTCATCAACTTCTGAACAGATTACGGCGCTTGTATCGAGGCCAAAAAAACCATCACACTTCAACCACGTGTTGTAATTCAGTAAGCTTCACAAATGACATCTTTTGAAGGAATTTGCAGCCTCTTTGAGACCGCTACGGACACAATATTGTCCATTCTTTAAAGATAAGTGGTTATATTCGGACAAACTTTAAAAAACAAAGGTTTTAGAACGTATACTTTGATTTAAAACTCGATTTAAAGTCAGCTTTTTTATCAAACCTCTTTCAAATTGCCGCCATTGCTTTCCCACCCGCGCCATAGCCCGCGCGCTACCCTGGCGCGGGCAAATGCTGGATGCGGGCTACAAGCATCAGTGGCTACAAGTAAATGAAACAGTGAGATTTTCGAAACAATGAAAAGACAATGGAACGTTATGATCACTGGGTTATATAATTAAACTGGATGTCATGGAGAACAGTGAGATCTTCAAAATAATGACAAGACAATGGAACATTCTGATCACTGGATCATGACTGGATGGCATGGAGAACAGTGAGATTTTCAAAACAATGAAAAGACAATGGAACATTCTGATCCAGTACAGAGATTGATCTGCAATTTTTAAAATCGAACAAATTTTCGGTGCAATCATGATCCAGTGATCAGAATGTTCCATTGTCTTTTCATTGTTTTGAAAATCTCACTGTTCTCCATGCCATCCAGTCATAATCCCGTGATCAGAATGTTCCATTGTTTTTTCATTGTTTCGAAAATCTCACTGTTCTCCATGCCATCCAGTCATAATCCCGTGATCAGAATGTCCCACTGTCTTTTCATTGTTTTGAGAATCTCGCTGTTCTCCATGCCATTCAGTCATAATCCCGTGATCAGAATGTTCCATTGTCTTTTCATTGTTATGAAAATCTCACTGTTCCCTATGCCATCCAGTCATAATCCCGTGATCAGAATGTCCCACTGTCTTTTCATTGTTTTGAGAATCTCGCTGTTCTCCATGCCATTCAGTCATAATCCCGTGATCAGAATGTTCCATTGTCTTTTCATTGTTATGAAAATCTCACTGTTCCCTATGCCATCCAGTCATAATCCCGTGATCAGAATGTCCCACTGTCTTTTCATTGTTTTGAGAATCTCGCTGTTCTCCATGCCATTCAGTCATAATCCCGTGATCAGAATGTTCCATTGTCTTTTTATTGTTTTGAATATCTCGCTGTTCTCCATATCATCCAGTCATGATCCAGCGATCATGATGTTCTTTATCTTTTCATTGTTTTGAAAAACTCACTGTTCTCCATGCCATCCAGTCATGATCCAATGATCATAATGTTCCATTGTCTTTCATTGTTTCGAAAATCGCACTGTTCTCCATGCCATCCAGTCATGATCCAGTGATGAGATTGTTCCATTGTCTTTTCATTGTTTTGAAAATGTCACTGTTCTCTATCACATGTTCCATAACTAATGGTATTGCTAGGCCCCTTAACCTTTCGTCCATTTTAGCAACTTATTATTTTTGAAAAAATACGCAAAAAATAGTAAAAGCTTAACTCCATATCTCTTTTCCACCATTCTTAGCCACTTTCTTCATTTTGCAAAATAGTAAAGGTAAACTTCACATGTTTTCGGCCATTCTGAGAACAACTTTTTTGATTTCTGAAAAAAGGGACAAACTTCTAAACTTTTCTTAACCTTTCGTGCATTTAAGCCACATCTTTGATTCTCTGAAAAATACGCAGAAAGTCAAGGCCTACCCCTTAAATTTCTCCACCGCGTTAGCCATTTTTTATTTTTGATAGCTACGCAAAAAATCACAATGACCATGTGTTAACAGGTCTTTTTTCAAATTTCATGTCGAAATGTTTGTCGGTCAGAGACAAGTGCCCTTGATTCATTGTAATTCTACTATTACTAAATATATTAATATATTAATATATTAACATACTAATATTCCTCTATGAATTACTATACTTTTCCCTTAATCTAATATTGAAAAAGACTGATATTTTCTCTATCTGATATAAATATATATTTTCTTACGTTATATAGCTATAAATAGAGTATAGTTACTTTGGCAATACCTTGTCAATTATGGTCATGCTGACAAAGTATTTTATAATAAAAACCCAAAAAAGCCCTTAAAACTTTTCGTCCATTTTAGTCACATTTCAGGATCTCAAATTTCCAAATATTTTGCCATGGATCCACTAGTAATGCACCCCCTCTTGGTACCTGCACCCCCTCTTGGTACCTCTACCCCCTCTTGGTACCTCCACCTCTCTAACCAATGAGGCCATGCAGGTCTGGCCCTGAGGTATTCTCCCTGCTTTTTTGCTGGGAAAAGTTTCAAAATTGTTTAACCAATATTCATTAAAATGTTTTTGGACATCCAATTTTATTGAATTATTTGGACAAAAAAATAACAATACAAAATATCCTACCGACCCTAATTTTGAACAAACAATTTTTAGGCGTTATTTCAAATCTCCTCAAAATTGCACGAAAAAAGAAAACATAATTTCAATTAATAAACAGTTTTAAGTTTATACGTTGATTTGATCCAGGATTAAAAGGATATCGATCTTCCGATGACCATTACGTGATTAAGCGTTAAACAACTTTTTAACGGAATATCCCTGTAAAAAATAGTAATTAAAGATTTTATTAAGCAAGCATTTGACAGTAAAAAGTATTCTGCTGTTTCTGATCAAATTTTGTTTTAAAGGGAGCTTTTTTGCTGAAATAACGAGTACATTTCTAATTTCTATACGTGCACACATTGATTTTTAATGCTAAATGTTAAATTGTCATCAAGTTTACATTCAGAATAAAATGAGAAGTACTAAAGAATAATATTTATTGAGTTGTAAAAATAATTATATTCCCTCAGTAGGACCTATACGTACGCTTGACTACAAATTTGTTCATAAACATGTAACAAATTACTTTTCTGTGAAAACTTCAGTGAAGGATCCTTGAGATGATCAGCGGTTTTCGTAAGAAAAACGTTGCGACGCATAGTCAAAGATGGCGCGCTAACCGGAAACAGCTAGAGTATTTTTTTTCGGAAGAAAGGAACTTGATAATTATACATATTGTAATTGCAACAGTGCTTGTATCGCGTATATATGTGCGTGTAATAGATGATTTTTCGATTCTCACATATCTATTTTCAGTGTTAAAATGGCAATCAAGTTGGTTTTGGTAGTGTCATTATGATTCAGGAACATGGGCGTGGTTTGTTAAAAGGTTTGAATCCAGGTTCATTCATTTTTTGTTTGTTTTATTGTTCTTTGAGATTATTACAAAATTAAATAAGTTTTGTCTGACGTTTCGGTTTCCTATACGAAAACCACTTTTTACTATTGTTTACTAAAATGGTTTTCAGATAGGAAACCGAAACGTCAGACAAAACTTATTTAATTTTGTAATAATCTAGAAGAACAATAAAAGAAACAAAAAATGGGCGTGGTTTGTTTACACATTCTCTGCAACAAGTTCAGATAATTTTCAGTGCTACAAAATAGTGGAACCTTTAGAAATTACCCTGTTGTTGCAAACACCCAAATTTCATCACCTCTGGGAGTTTAGAATGCACTGTAATCGTACGAGCATATTAAAACTGCATAAATTGTACATAGAAATTCTAATTGAAAGTTAAAACGACTTAGAAATTCGTCCCGTCAGTTCGATTAAAAATGATTCAACTGATTACAGAGCAAAGAGTTTTTACTGTTTTACGTGCTGCGTTAAATTAATCAGCACATAATCACATTCATGTTGAACGACAAAAAACCTTTCATTCTCAGGCATTCAAATTATATAGAGAATTACATGGGTGCGCCGAAATACCAGATTTATTTCGAGTGTTGAACATGATATCTCACGAGTCAGCGCAGCGAACGAGTGAGATATCATGTTCAACACGAGAAATAAATCTGGTATTTCCAAGCACCCATGTATTTTTCTGTTTATTATATAAAGGACAGTCTTTGAAAAGCGATAATT